TGCCTCTACAACATCTAAAGGCAACCCATTCCAAAGGCCAACCACCCTGTTAGAAAAATTAAACTGTTTTAGCTGAAGAGCCCCCAGTATCACAGCGGTATGTCTGTGAACTTAAAATGCTAGAATCTGGGTTTCGATACCCATGGTGGGCAGAGCACAGATAGCCCATTGTGTAGCTTTGTGCTTAAATACAAACAAAACAAACTTAGCTGAAGATGACTCTTACCTTGCCAAAATTTATATTTGTGTCACCTAGTCCTACTATTCTCACTGTTATGTATGAAAAAAGATGATGCATCAACACTATCAATTCCCTTTATAATCTTAAACACCTCAATCAGATCCCCCTAACTCTTTGTTTTTCAAGTGAAAACAATCTGAGAGATTTCAGCCTCTTTGTATGACAACCCCTCCATCCCAAGCACACTTCTAGTAACCCTTCTCTGAACCTTTTCCAACAATTCAATGTCTTTTCTAAGGTAAGGAGCCCAAGACTGAACACAATATTCCAAATGTGTCCTAACCAGTGACCTGTACAGTGAAATTATAACCTCTTTAGACTTATATTCAATATTTCTTTAGATACAACCTAAGATACAATTTGCCCTACCACTAGCAACAGCACACTGCTTGGATGGCTTTACAGACTAATTATTACACAAAGATACCTTTCCTTCATAACACTATTAAAATTATTTCCATCCAAATTATATTTATAATTGAAATTATGATAACCCATGTGCATTATCTTGCATTTAATATAATTAAAACCCATCTGTCATTTATTTTCCCAACTCACTAAATGATTTAAATCCTCTTCACAGCTAGCAACACCCAAGACCTTAATATTGTTAGGACAGCGGAAGTCACGTGACGCTAGTAACACGTCATGAGCTTCTAGAAAATACATGTCCTTCGCGAAGCCTCGAGTGTTTATTAGATGTACGGTATTCTTGTATATAAGACCGCCAACAAGTGACGGCAACAATGTAATTGAATTGCAGACAGAGATACAGGCGGACAATTGAGTCAAGCGTGTGAGTCGTTCGTTGTGAATTGTAGCATTTGTTTAAGTTATAGCGTGACTGTGGAAATTAAGTGTATTGCAAAGTTGTATTGAGAAAGAATAAACCAGTTTTATTTAAGAGAGGACTTGTATCACTAAAGTTTCTTCGGAAAGCATTTTTACGGAAAATTAACAAACGACTAGAGACGTAACAAATTGGTGTATATCTGGCAACGAGC